TCAGAATCTCTTTCAGCAGACCTATCGCTTAAGAGGAAAACAGAGGAAAGAGTTGCTCCAGAGGAAGCAGACATTATTGTTAGAGAGAAAGACAGACTGAAAGAATGATAGAGAGGAGGAATACTAATCAAACACCCCCTAATAATCCTAGGGTCAACTGTACACCCCAATGGTAAGAATTCGCACAGTGGAGTTTCAATCCACAAAGCGGAGAAGATAAGATAAGCAACAATCTCGATTCCAAAAGTAAAAGAACCGAAAAATCTAGAAAAACAACGGCCACCTCGAATTCGAGGGCTCTAGAGCGGGGAAAGGTAAGAGAAAGAGAAGGAGGCAGAAAAGGCGTACCTAGATAGGGAAGAGAGCAGCAAACAACAACTGAGGATGAAATTGGAGTGAAGAAGCAAAGCAAGACTTCGAGGCGTACCCGAAAAACGCAGTCTTGAGCAGAGAATGAGTGAATCGCGTGTAGGAAAGCCCAGAAATTACAGAGGAAAAGAGGCAGAGGCAAAAGTGAACAAGGAGTTTTAAGCAATTTTTGGGTAGTCGTTTGAGCATTTGAAGCTTGAGTGACGTGGGCTGAAACATGCACGGAAATCGAGGAAGCATGATTGCTGTAAACCGTCAAAGAGCCCCCCCCCCCCCCACATGCATCTCACATGCAGACTAAGGTTAGCTAGGTGCAGGCCTGGTCCAATGTGAAAGCAGCTCAGCCTATGCCCAAGCCCGCTAGAGTCAAGGGTTGGGGGACAACTGATGATACCTAAAATAAAATTCAAGTGCTAAGCTCAGGAGATTAGCTCGGACCAGGAGGTCAAGCATATTAGCAGAGGTTAAAGGGTAAGGGCCGAGTGTCTCTTAAGGCAAGATAACAGCTGGATAACCACGAGAGGATCCTAAAGCGTTAGGAAGCTGTAACCAAGACATCCAATCTCAAGCAACCAAGATCTTCTCCTAGAATTAAGAAAAAAACCCATGAAATAAGGGCAATAATCTCGGGTAAGATCCTTCTTAGCAGGGAATGACCTTATAAATGCAAGGTAACACCCCCTAACCGGGGGGGGGGGGGGGGGGGGGC